ATAATTTGGTACTTTTGAAACGTCAACAAATACAAAATAAATAATAGTCTGTCAGTCAGTCCATCAGTGAAGCTAGGTGAAGCTAGGTGCTCATTCCAAAATGTAGATTCGAATGGAGAAGAACGAGCAAGAAACTCAATTCGATACTCTTTTTAAGAAAGTATGTTCTACAATGTCTCTGATACATATTCCAATTGGAAATTTTGATAATGGTATCTTCCAAGGAGATTTATAAGTATGTTTTGATAATAATGACTGCCTCGTTGGCCGAGTGGTCGCAAGTGCGACTGCCGGGCAAGGGGTCTCGGGTTCAATTCCCGGGTCTGGTATTTAAAAAAAAATCGCAGTAGTAGCACGGAGTCTGAAATTGTGCCCGGTATATGGCAATAGGCTCACCCCCTATTACATGGGACTCATAACATAAAAAGTGAAAAGTGGGTGTTACATTGTACAGTGGCATAATGTACACCTCTGCCTACCCCTTCAGGGATAAAAAGGCGTGATGTTATGTTGTTATGTTATGTTTTGATAATAACTTTTGTGAGACATACTAAATTAACTAAAATCGCGGGTTACTCACGTGAATATACTGAGAAAAGGTCTACTAGTTCTTACGCGGTCGCGGCGACGTCGCGCACGCTGCTCATGAGGAAGAACCCCTCTGTGGTTCGTAACCCGCGATTTTAGGTAATTGGTAAAATCTAATTGTGTACTTGCCAACTAGTGAAATTCTTATTTCGAACTGTCATGAACGACAGTTTTCTATGAATTTTGTACGAGATTGTGTATTGTGACGTCACGTTTTTTTAGCGTCAAACAGCTTACTTATTTATTAAAAATTTGCTGGAAATATACTAAAATTAAGTTGTTCATAAAATCGATTAATTGAAGTGTGATTATGTTTTAATATTTTATTGTATTAGACACCCAATTATTAGATCTTTTGGCTTACTCACGTAATTATTTGATGAGGAACTCGACTAGTTTCAAGCCATGTTAGAGGTTCATATTCAGAAGCAGCATTCCGCGACCGGCGACATGGCGACTGTCGCGCTCCTTCTGTTGTCTCACGAAAGTTTATAATATAAAGATAAAAATCTATGCTTGCGGGGAAGTCTCAAGAGATGACTGCGCAAAGGTTGTTGAGAAGACTAAAAACCTGATTTTGGAACATTTTGACCAAAATATCAGGATTTATTCTGTTATTGATAATAATATAATTATACATGTAGGCGAAGATGATGATGAAGACACCACCTCCTCAAGCGAATCGGAGTCTGATTAATATTCTGTACGCACACTCAATTCAATGTACTTACTTTATCGCATAGAAATACAGATTGTAACTTTGTAACGAAGAATAAATAAACAATTTTATTGTATGAATATTACCTTTTTTTGGTTTCCACTTAAATAACTAAAATATAAATTTTAAATGATTTCGCCAATTTAAAACGAAAATAATCTTAAAATAATGCGGCGGTTCATTTTGGAGATATGGTAACGAACTCAGTGTTATGTTGTGACTAACTGATAGGAGTCAGGAACGCATTCTCTGAACGGCCGAAGTTGAACTGTATATTTCTGTTAACAGCGCACGCGCCCATAGTGATGACGAGTTTGGACATTGCCTGGGAGGACATGAACCCCAGTCCTGTCGGTATACTCGACCAGTTGAACCATCCGGAGGAACAAGGTGAGATTATTTTGATATACTGTACTTTAACCCTTTGAGTACCGTCATTATAGACACAATTAAAGAACAATAGGTTGCGGTCACCAGTGTCCTCACGGTGTTTGACAGTTTAAAGCCTGTTATTTTAAGTATGTAGACAGAACTGTTATTTATTATCTGTGTTATCGAATACTTGCTTGATATTAATAATGCTTTTATAAATAACGTTTCGAAAATCCGACTTTAACTGCCTCTTTCTTGAAGTCGGTTAATTAATATACTAAAACCTTATTTCTCCTAAGTCCACCATTATATACCTACAAGAAGTGTAAATAAATAAAATAAATAAATAATTATGGAAACAGAGACAACTTGAGATAACTTTAAGTGTAGGAGAGCCATGCTTCGGCACGAATGGGCCAGCTCGACCGGAGTGATACCACGGCCGAGCAGAAAACCGACGTGAAACAATGCTTGCGTTGTTTCGTCGTGCGTGTGAGGTTACCGGAGGCACAATTTATACTTTTAATTTTGAACCTTATGACGTGGAATTTAAGTTTAACAGTAATTTTTAGCCATGCTCAGAGTCTTTGGCAATTGTTTTCGATACAAAATCGTTGCTAAGGCGTACGTTACTAAATGCCTCTCGAGTCCGCATTGATACACTTTAATAGGGTAGTTTCCAGGGTAAGAAAATTAAAAATCTAATTAGTCTGTCAGTTAAATAATGAAAAAATATTAGACACGTATTTTGTATTTTCTCGTATAAAGTTACAATACTTACTTAAATTAAATGGAGTTAAGTTTAGGAGTGGGAAGTCGTTACGTCACAATGTTTACATTTTGTGGCAAGCTGTGACGTCACACGACATTTCAAATCAATATATCGTCGAAAGCATTTAGTTTTGTGAGAAAAGAAAAAATACGTGTCTAATGTTATAAAATAATCTACCCGACGGACAATAGAATGAAATTTAGGAAATTCTATTGCCACTAAAAACACCAATATATTTTTTCTTAATATTAATACATTTGTTACAGAAATCAAGTTAACAGCGTCAATATACCTACTAGCGGCCAACCGTTTGGTGGTAGGCAGAGAAGATGGCTCCATAGTCATCGTGAATGCAACTCATACCGTACAACTGCAACTCTTGCACGGCAACCATCAGCAACTTGATGGTAAGTCCTCGGCTTTATGACATGCCCACTTAAAAGAGGGACAAGCCCGCCACAACCTCCCAAAACCGCTGCAACTCCTGTAAGCCAGGATCTACAGTAGATACAACTATGAAAACTCCGGAACACTGAAGTCCAGCGCGTCCCAGGGACATGAGTAACTGTCTTGTTGCCCGCAATGAAGTGAATCAGAAGATATTATAAGAGGAGAAGAAAAAAAACGATGTTTCCACTTCCCTCGGTGAATGTCATGTCCACTGGTGGACTATGAGCCTTCTAATAAACAGTTTGACAGTAGAGTATGTTTGTCACCACCGCTGCTCTTGTAGTGGGTGTCGTATACCCGACTAAAGGACTACACATTAGACAGAAGCCTAGCAGTAGCGCTCTCTGATAAACCTGTGCCTTTAGCGAAACGCCAGTTTAGCGCTTGTCTACAGAGAGAGTAGAAAACTAAATGTATGGGGATGACACTGACAAGTGTCAAAATTTACGTCAATCCAATATAATTTGGTTTACTATTCTACATGTAGACAAGCGCTGAATGGCATTTGGCTACAGCTGGTGAACATTTTAACGCCAACCAAGCGAGATTATGGCAGACCCTCTTATGTAAAGGAGGCTCATAGTCCATTCTTCATTCTCTATTGTCCTTCAACCAGTTTGCCAAGCCAAGAAATAATGGTAAACTCCTCTTATGTAAAGGAGGCACTTGGCTTATAGTCCGGCAAGGTGTTGATTTTCACCGAACTGCACTATTTGCAAAACAATAGAAGATATACAACATTTGCTGATGGAATGTGTCCGAAACAGGAATGAACGCAATTTGTTTTTACAAGAATTTAAACTTAATAGACTGGATGTGGGTCTGATGCAAAGTATACTTGCACAACCAACTTCAAAAGCGGCTAAACGATTGTACACAATGATAAAAATTGTCCAAGAGTAATCAGTAGTTATTTACTTAATGTGTTCAATTAATGTAATTAAAGTACCTACATAGATATATACATACCTCTAAGTACCTAATGTGAAACTGTAATTTAAGTCATGTGCTCAGTTTAGAATAAGGTACGATGGGGTTGGCATATCCTTAAGGGATAAAAACCCCAATAATACATTTATTTATATATAAGTAAATAAAGATTTAAAAAAAAGGTGTTGATTTACCGTAGAGAGGGAACGAAAATATCGCTGTCTCATTCGCAAAATTGCAATTCTATTAAAGATAACCCCTACTATGATTCAAGATATCTTAATTATTTAGTTTTTTTTAATAAAACGTTGCCGACACTTGGATTGTCTCCTTTATCGTGGGCGCGTTTACAAACATACAAGTTCACATACACATCACACACAGACACGGAACTGTTATGTTGGTGAATTAATTAGAGGTATAGACGGATTTATTTTACTTGGATTTATTACAATAATGTGCAGGGCGCACGACGTGTACACACACCAGACTATGACAGGTAGACAGCGGCGTTAATGACGAGTGTCCTACCTTATACAAGGTGTTGTTTTAAAGCCGCGTCATTTTCTAGGAGGTAACGCGGAAATCGATTCTGAGTCCGAATCAATAAAAAAATTTGTAGGTAAATATTTTTCATTTTTCTGTAAATTATGGACATCCGTAAGTGCGAACTACACGCCGCCGTCTTGTAACTTTATAACTGTTTTTATAACCCGGCTTAACACACACAAACTAAAACACGTAATTGATATTGTTCCTAATTCCATAAAACTTCAATAAGAAACATTGCTGTCGCTTATTCTGAAAGACTGTCGAACTTAAACGATTTACTATAGCCGTATTTTTAACTATTGCCCCGAAACTTTCTCTTACATTGAACCTTTATGACTTCTGTGACATGCCCCCGAGAAATGACACGGCTTCAAAACTACACCTTGTATAACACATTATAGTGAGGGGGCCCATACTTACTAATTAGTGATGTACAGTGTACATACATGTAACAGGAACAATAATCTGTGGATCACACAAAGAGATGCTCCGTGCGGGATTTGAACCCGCGACACGTTGCGCGGCAGCCGGTTGCACAGTCACCGCGCCAACCGTGCACTCTGTATAATGTATTTTTGGTTTCAGATTGGCCTCCACACCAGTTGCTATTAGGACACAATGGTCGAGTCAATTGTCTGCTGTACCCTCACCATGTACACCAGAGGTACGTCATTTATGGTAGTTCCTTTCTCCGGCACTCTGGTAGACCACACGAGACTTCTCAAGTAAATAAGTGCGCATACTGGCGCCCGAGATACGGTATACATTGTCAAAATGTATCTCTATGAATTTGCCGAAACGAGAAGAATTGTCGTTTCGTGTTGTTTTCGCGTTTCCTATTGCCTGAAATAAGAATAGAAAAGCTATTAGTAATTACACATACCATAACATACATAACATCCCGCCTTTTATCCCCGACGGGGTAGGCAGAGGTGCACATAATAAGCCACCCACTTTTCACTATTTATGTTATGACTTTTCACTTTTCACTATTTACGCACTCGGCCAACGGCCTGGTATATGGCAATAGGCTTATCCCCTATTACATGGGACTCATAACATAAATAGTGAAAAGTAGGTATTACATTGTACAGTGGTATAATGTGCACCTCTGCCTACCCCTTCGGGGAGAAAAGACCTTCACTGGATGGATACAATGGACTACAAGGATGTGTAAAGCTGACGAGTTGGTTTGTTCGAATGCACTAATCTCCTGAGATTAGTGCATTCGAACAAACCAACTAATCAAACCATCGGAACAGTAGTACCTGTACTACTGTTCCGATTTGAATAATATTTTTTATGTTGAGTAGAGCATTTATCGAGGAAGGGTATAGGCTATTAAACATAACGCTACAACCAATAGGCGACGAATAGTGTATACAAGTTTAACTACAACATTATTATTTTTTAACAGATACGACAAGTCCCATCTAGTTTCTGGAGGTATAGACTTCGCAGTGTGTCTATGGGACCTGTTCAGTGGCGCCCTCTTACATCGCTTCTGTGTACACGCGGGGGAGATCACACAACTTATTGTGCCGCCCCATAATTGTAGTGTAAGTATATATATGTATTTTAAACTGTCAAACACCGAGCGGTCACCGGTGACCGCGACCTATTGTTCTTTAATTGTGTCTATAAATACGGTACTCAACGAGTTAAATCATACTTATGTATTCGGCCTTTCACCTTTGTAGAAAATGTATGCGTGTAAAACATATGTATGTAAAAATCAAAGCAATTTGCGCTTGTTTGCGGCTCCCGCTGCACCCGCGCCTTGTACGGCGGCGTCGGTTGGCGGGCGACCGCGATGTAAGGACCGGTCTGGAACTCAACTGATTGTTTAACCGCCCGCACGGTCTTGCAATAACTCAACCGCCAAGTTTACGCGGCGGTTGCGACATCGCAGACAACTGCAGTCTCGTGAGTTTTGAAAATTCGCGGCAACCGACGTCAAACCGGCGTAGTGAGTTCCTTAGTCTTAATGGGTCCCACTAATTTAGGTAAAATCCTATTTTGAAAAAATCAGAAGATAATTATGTACATTTTGGGTCATTTAACTCGTTGAGTACAGTCATTATAGACACAATTAAAGAACAATAGGTTGCGGACAGTTTAATTAAAACCCGTGTTTGGCTATGGTAATCAATGTGTGTATGTATTTTTGTTTCAGCCTCGAATTCAAAAGTGTATCTGTTCAGTCGCTTCAGACCACAGCGTCACTTTACTCAGTAAGTGTTTATTTAGATTTTATATTAAATTTTTTCTTCTGGTGGGATAAGCCGGTAAACGAGCTGACGGGTCACCTGATGATAAGCAATGGGCGTCGCGCATGGACATCCAAAACACCAGAGGCATTACAAGTGCGTTACTGGCCTTATGGGAATTGGGAATTTGAGGATTGTTGGGGATTCAGGGATCGGAGTAATTAGGGGGGGGGGGCTAATTACTCCGATCCGCTCCGATCCGTTATTGGGCCTCTGGTAACCTCAATCAAACTAGTCGGCCAACGAGGCAGTCATAATTATTATTAACCCACATTTCCCCCTACAGGTCTGACAGAACGTAAATGCGTGACGTTAGCGTCCCGTCACCTATTCCCCGTGCTGACAATAAAATGGCGGCCGGCGGATGACTTCATGGTGGTGGGCTGCAGTGATGGAACTGTCTTCGTCTGGCAGATGGAGACTGGACATGTGGATAGGGTGTTACATGGTAAGTTTGAGAGGGGGAGGGGGATGGGGAGTGAGTTGGGGGATGGGGTGTGGTATTTGATATGGAAGGGGTGATAAAGGGGGAGAGGAATGAGAAAGAATGAGTAAGCGACAGATAAGAGAGTGAAAGAGAATAGAGGGTGACGAGGCACAGTAAGCTCCCCTCATAAAATACAGTCGCGGCATTCAAAGTAAAGAAAGAAAGAAAGAAAAATTGTTTATTTGCACACAGTCACAAAGTACAAAAAAAAATTAAACAGTGAAGACGGCGCAAAAAGGCCAGAGCTCAGCTTAAATGCCGTGACACGAGTGCGGTCGATTTTCAGCACTTGCCCGTGACTATAATAATAATAAAGTGAGGTTGAGGCACTGAGAGGGGTCAAGTAGTAAATAATTAAGTGTAAACAGGGTAACAGGAAAAGGAATGGGGGTCAACGGGAAGAATGGTTAGGATTGAAATATGGAATAGAAAGAGAACGAAGAAAATATTAAAATGTAAAAAAGCGATTATATTATAATACTTTTGACTTTTTGAATCATCATCATCATCATCAACAGCCGGAAGACGTCTACTGCTGGACAAAGGCACTATTTGAATGAATGAATGAATGAATAAATGAATGAATGAATGTCATTTATTTATTATTTCTCAGTACATGGTGCACAAAGATCTTAAAATTAACAAAGTTCCACACATACTACTTTGAAGCGAATAGATAAAAAGGGGAACGCAAAAATACTACGTACAATTTGGTATGATGATTTCATATGTGTCTACCATGTTTAATGGCATATTTCGAGGCAAAATATGATCAACGTGATCGAAAAATTAATAAAATAATATCTTAAAATAATCAACTTAAATTTTGTGTCTAGGCATGATAGCGGAAGAGGTGCTAGCGGCCTGTGATGAAGCGTTAGCTGATGACCTTGGAGGGTCATTGTCTACAGGTTCCAGTGATGGGCTGGCTAACCCAGCTGTACACTTCTTCAGGTTGGTATTAGTACAATTTTCAGTAATTATTTTTTATGGGATAAGCGGACGGATCACCTGATGGTAAGCAATCGGCGTCGCCCATCGACACCTGGAATACCAGAAACGTTACAAGTGCGTTACCGGCCTTTTGGGATTAGGAATTTGAGGATTGTTGGGGATTCAAGGATTGGGAAAAAAGGGAGGGGGGGGGGGTAATTGGGCCTCCGGTAACCTCACACGACGAAACACATTTTGTTATATTAAAAATGAGCAGCATTCGGCGATCCGCGACGCAGCGACTGTCGCGCTGCTTTTGAGGTGTTTATTGAGCTGTGAACGTATTTCGAATAGTTTAAGTGAGTAACGGCTCGTTTTCATGAACATCTCTTTAATTTTATGGAACGCCTAAGCTAAGATATGTCGTAATCTTTTATACGACCATACGTTACCAATCGATCAAATATTTTTATAAGAAAATATTTGTCAAGCAATGGAAAAGAAGAAACGCTAGGGGCTCCGCTTTTTTGCCCTCAAGTGTACAGTCAAAGGTCCACTGCTACCGTGAGTGATGTTCACACGGCAATGCGTAAGTAATTTCATATTAATGTGCGTAAAAACGCGTGGATACGTATAAACACACGCACGCGTACGCACACGGATACAAATATGCGTGCGTGTGTGTATAAGCGCTGCAGCGCAACCGATAGTAGTCTTACGGTGGCAGTGGACTTTTGACCTTTGACCGTACATACAGTCCACGATAGTTATCACATCTCATACTAAAAATAATGATGGCGAATACTCTTTCTCCCACAGAGGCCTCCGCCATCGCAACTTGACAGCAATGCGCGCGGCCACCCAGCGCGGGCTGGCGGCCCTGCAACACAGCGGGCCGGCCGGCAGCGCCGGGCCGCTCGCGGAGCCCGCGCGGGCACGGCGCGCGCAACTCACCGTGCAGGGCTTCCGGAGCAATCCTGCTGGTCAGTCAGATACATCATTAACATCATCTTTCATCATATCAGCCATAAACAGATTGATCGGAAGCCTCCCACAATGTTTTTTTTATGGGATAAGCCAGTAAACAAGCAGACGCATCACCTGATGGTAAGCAATCAGCGCCGCCCATGGACACTCGCAATACCTGAGGAGATTGAATGGTTGTAACTCCTCTGCATCAAGGGTGGTGTCGATAAAGTGATCCATAAGTTTATTTGTCATCTCTATCTCTTAAAAACAATAATATAGCAACAGACTCACTTCTTATTAACATAACATCACGCCTTTTTTATCTCCAAAGCGGTATGCAGAGGTACACATTACGGCACTTAATGCCTCTGTAAAATGTAACACCCACTTTCCACTATTTATGTTATGAGTCCCATGTAATAGGGGGTGATCCTATTCCCATATACCGGGCACAATTCCAGACTCCGTACTACTACTGATTTTTTTTTAAAACCCAGTATTAATTTGCCCGGCCCAGTAGTCGGACATGCGACCATTCGGCCAAAGAGGCAGTCTTCTTATTAAATAATAATAATAATAGAGCCCGCAGGGCACCTTGAGGCGAGGTGACGGGCATTAGCGATCCCGCGGGCTACCATCATCCCGAGTGCTCCAGGGAGAAGTCACCGTTCCTTCTTCTCCGGCTTGCCTTAATTGGCTGGCTGGAGTGAAAGATGACAAGGAACAGGTCTCCCACCTCTGGCTTGCCTTCATTGGCCGTCCAGAGTGGAGTCGCGAGAGCAGTGATCCTGCTCGGAGGGTAAGAAATTATTCGTAAGTCGCGAGTGGGCCAGGGATGCAGGAGGCTTCGGCTGGAGCAGATGATCTGAGTAGAAAGCGGTGGTAGTTTCTTAACCCTTCAGCCACTCACATTCTCGTTGCCCCTCTGTTGCTATATCTAGCAACCATTCCCGGGGCCCGGTCGGTGAGTTGGCGAGTCTCCGCCTGCCATTTTTACGTGTAAAAATTACATTGTTTCGGCAGGTGTCATAGTCATCCATAGTTCCCAATTTACCAGTCCACAACAACCCATCCATAGCCCTACCTTTTTTTTTCCATTATTCACAATAGTCCTACACTAACCGGGGACTGTCCTTGGGTGCATTTCCATAGTGCATACAGGGATAGTCGCCGGTTTGTGTGTCCATTACATTTATATTATAGTTGTCTAAAGGGCCTCTGCGCAGTTGGCTTCGGCCCCTCGTACGCCTCCCAAATGACCGGGACCCTGTGGTCCCGTGAATGGTAAAGACATACATAATAATAATAATAATAGTTATTTTAAAACCTATTAATAAATTAATTTGCTTGTTCTATCTAGACCCTGAAAGTCACATCCTGTTCTTCGACATCGAGGGTCTGATAGTGGAACTCCTCAGCGAGGAGTACTCCGCCATGAGTCCTGCTAGTTTGGAGGTAGGAATATAAGTCTAATTATTTGATCATCATCTTCAATTATCACGCTGCTGAACATAGAATTTAATACTTTGTAAGGTTAAGCTTTTAGTTCGATTCATACAATTTGCGCTTGATAGATGGCGTTGGAAACGTATTTGGTGTTTCGCAACTTTATTACTTCTATACCCTTTTGTCTAAATACTCAAACGCTACTCAATTTTAAGTGCTAACGCGCTTAAGTAAAATAGTTCTGTCACTTATATTTCTTGGTAAAATGACAGAGATGGCAAGTTATTTAGATATAACCTAAAAATGAGTAGCCTTTCAGCATTTGAGCATTTATCAACTTAACCATACATGCATACGTCTGCCATGGGTGTAGGCAGAGACAGAGATTCTCACATACCTTCGCTTTATCAATAGCCATCAGTCTTTTCATGCATGCTCGTCGGTTAAGGGTAGTTTTAATTTGATCCGTCTAGGGTATCCTAGACCTCTAACAAAGTCGCGAAGAACCTAACGGGTCACCGGGGCTCCGGCTCGACGTGCAGGAGAAGGAACGGGGTGGTTTTTAGTCAGTAAGAGTCTGACACGCCCTTCTGCCTCACCCAGGCGGGAGCAGTCATTCGATGACTTTCCCCCCTTAAAAAAAAAGACCTCTACCAACGGCCCCCATTCATATCCGCTCTATATACTTCTTTCGTTAATCTCAACTTAACCATTTTATGGAATACATAAAACGAAATAGATTAATAAAACTTCGTGCATTAATAAATAAAATACATTTAGACACAGAAATAGACTACACAATAGACTGCACCGTTGGTGCGGTGGCTGGGGAACCAACTGCCGTGCAACGTGTCGCGGGCTCATTCCCCGCACGGAGCAACTCTTTGTGTGATCCACAGATTGTTGTTCCGTGTCTTTGTGTGTTGTGTATGTGAACTTGTATGTTTGTAAACGCACCCACGACACAGGAGATAATCCTAGAATGGGGCAACATTAACGAAAAACTAATAAACAGTGAAAGAAAACATCTTGAGGAAACTTGTGCCTTTAGCCAAACGCCAGTTTAGCGCTTGTCTACAGAGAGAGTAGAAATCAAAATGTATGGGGATGACACTGACAAGTGTCAAAATTTACGTCATTCCCATATAATTTGGTTTTCTATTCTACAAGTAGACAAGCGCTAAATGGCATTTGGCTACAGCTGCTGGACTTATAATTTATATTATAAGTTTGAAATCGCGCTCGGTCAACCGGCATTGAGCAAGCGTGGTGATTAATGCTCAAACCTTCTCCGTGTGAGAAGAGGCCTTTGGTCAGCAGTAGCCACTTATAGGCTGCAGATGATGTTGACGAAGATGTATTAATGAAATATATTTCCTCCAGGCGGCCGGTCTAATAACAAGCGAGTACATGAAGGTAGCAGCCCTGACGCAGTCTGCCAGCCCTGACGCCACCAAGAGAATATCAGGTGATTACTCTTTTTTTTTTATTGTTCAAGAATATTTTTTTTATGGGATAAGCCGGTAAACGAGCACGCGGATCACCTGATGGTAAGGAATCGGTGTCGCCCATGGACACCTGGAACACCAGAGGCGTTACAAGTGCGTTACCGGCCTTTTGAGATTAGGAATTTGAGGATTGTTGGGATTCAGGGATTGAGAAGGGAGGGGTGTAGTTGGGTCTCCGGTAACCTCACTCACACGACGAAACACAACGCAAGCGTTGCTTCACGTCGGTTTTCTGCTCGGTCGTGGTATCACTCCGGTCGAGCCAGCCCATTTGTGCCGAAGCATGGCTCTCCCACACTTATTGTGTGTGTAAAAAATTCAATATATTTACCGAAAGGATCGGTATATACTACTTTAATATCTAGTGTATTATAAATAAGGTTTAAATTTACTTGATCGAGTCAGTTAATCTATTATACTCAACATACCAATCGATTATGAACTTCCAGTGATTGTTAATAAGTCGTAAAATTTCTTAAAATATTAATATTGTATTATATGTATGTATGTCTGTGTTACCATGCTACCAAACGGATAGACTTCTTTGGCCGTGTCAAGGACAAGGCCGGAGATATGGAACGGATATTAAAAGAAAAAGATAAACATGGTGGGTATTCACTTTCGATTTCGATCGGTTTCGATTCCTGTGTCGTATACAGTGGTTTTTGGAATTTTAAATGCTGGAAATTAAAAAACGTTAATGTCTCGTTGGTTTAATACATGTATGTACGACTACAGTGCTAGGGTGTCTGCTTCGATTCCTGGATCGAGCATATTCTGGAATTGGCCTGATATTTTGCGACTTACTTAACTTTTTGACAAGGTAACCCGACCAGCGATACTAAGAACTTATAGTGATAAGCAACATTGCGACCGTCGCGGAATCAACTGCGTCAATTAGAGCTCTTAGTGTGTATTGAAACTAGTCGAAATGCCTTGTCAAACAGTTATATGACTAAGGACCGATTCTTAAAATCAACAGATAATTCTTAACTGTAGAATAAAATTGACATTTGACAGTTTTTAGTTTGAAAGAATTGTCAAAATTATTCCTCTTATAAAATTTATCTAACGTTGGAAAAATCGACCTTAAGCAGTTAAACTTTACGGTTAATTTAGTATATCTCGTGCGAGTTATAATACAAAATGGAGACAAATAATAATAATATTTCTTTTTATAATTTTTTTTGAGGTGAATATTTTAGTTCATAGTTATTTATATTTTAAGTTGTACATATTTTCATTTAGTAATAGTTAATTTTATTTAGTAACTAGCTTTTACCCGCGGCTTCGCTCGCGTCACAAAAGGATAAAAAGTAGCCTATGTGACATATACCAATACATACAGCGCCATCTATACCAATACTTTTGTTTTCCCTCGGGAATATCAAATTTTTTCGGGATAAAAAGAACCCTATTATTTAATCCAGACTACTAACTTAACGTCTGCAAAAATTCAATGCAAATGGTTTAGTAGTTACGGCGTGAAGTCGGAACAAACAAACAAACTCACTTTCCGATTTATAATATTAGTAAGGATAAGGATAGTAAGTTTAAGTAAGTTTAAGTTTAAGTAAGTTTTTAGTTAGTAATAGTTAATATTAATGTTATTTATGTCTATTGAATGAATAGATATATTTTAATATTCTTATTCTATGCAGGTATACTGGCTAAAATGAAAGAGGGAGCTGAAACTATGCAGACGAAGCTGCAGGCGAAGGCTGAGCAACTGAAAGGTCATATTGACAACAAAGGTAGGTGATTTTTCAGGGAGAGGTCTTCAGTGAAAATATTTTTACTTAGTCCAGCGCCGCGCTACCCTAGGAGAGAAGATTTTTTCACATTTTCGACTTTTTAAAACTTTTTAAATGTCTCACATGCGACGTTACTCGCAAGTGATCGCATCCCTGGTGGGGATTGAACACACTACCTTTGGATTAGAAGTCCAACGCGCTATCCTCTGCGTCACAGGGACTGTCGATTTCTAGAGGTATTTACGTGTATATTTAGCAATTTCTTTTCGACACTTGTCGTATTGCGGATGTTTTTATTAATTTTCTGTGATATTTAATACTAAGGCGTAAATTGTCATACTTATTACATGATCTTTCGACATGTTTACGTTTGGTGTTTCGCGTAAAATTTAAATCATATATCCCTAAGCGGTCCCCGCTGACCGCTCCCCACAAACTACATTATAGACCTTATTTCCAATGTTTAAAGACAACTTTTGTATGAACAAATTTAGGGGATGAATTTCAACGGGTTAAGTGATATTTTCGTCATTCTACAACATGAACGCGCTAAATACGGAATACACTTAAACTATTTTAAGCCATAAAAATTACACCATAAAATCGCTCCATTATTGCTTGAGACGTGAAAGACAAACAAACACACATTTCCATTTAAGTATATTAGTACTGTTAGACGATGAAAATCAACTAAATTAACGGCACTTGTTTAATCTGTGTTATCGACAGCACTAGCTGTCATGTTGAAGCTGTCATCTGTCAAATGTGACAGATTAGTAAAGTTTCCCGCGCAAAGGGTTGTAACGTCCTTTCAGGTTGGAAGTATAAACGAGTATTACGCTGTTTGTTAAAAGAATAAACTATTCAGTATTTAAGTATTGAATTTTACATACAAGTAGGAAGTTACGTTCTGGAGCTTATACGAAATATGTATTCACCAAGTCTAACCACAGACCAGTTAACCTATAAAGCTAACAATACAAAATTGCTCACTGGAATTTTATCTACAAGTTTTCAAAGTACAATTGAAATTTAGTTCATATCATTAACTAGCTGTCGCTCGCGATTTCGTCCGCGTAGATTATGAATTTTAGAATATATAACTTTATTTGTTTCAAATTTCCAAAATAAGCCTATTCTACTCAGTCTATTTAGTTTTCCACAGTAAGGTAACTGATGTACTAAGAAAATAGACTTAGGCTATTTTACTCCTTAGTACAGCTCCTCATCAGCTACCTGCCAGTAAAATCATAACCCATCAATATCAGTCCAGCCATTACAGAGATTGGCGAATACAATCAAACTGATTGAAAAAAAAATGTTATTTTGCTATGTGTATCATATATATATTCATATGCATGTAGTAAAAAGCTGTTATTTTAGTATTACAAACGGACACTTCAATTTTATTTATCTAGATAGATTTAGTCAATCTAAATTGTAATATAGTTCATAAATTGGTTAGGTTCCAGCTATTATCTCGTTACTTGAAACTAATTGATGCATAAATCTAACAACTTTAGATTAATTTATATAATTCAATATGAAATGTTTTGTTGCTATTGCTACTGTTCTGTCTAATCTTGATTGCTTACTACGAAGTTTCAGGCACAATAGGAATGATGACAGGGTATGAAATTTAAAAATCTAATTAGTCCGTAAGCTAGATAATGAAAAAATATTAGACACGTATATTTTATTCTGTCGTATAATAAAACAATACTTAGATGAAACGAATCAAAGTTTAGGTGCATGGGGGCTAAAACGTCATTTCTATGTATAAAATGTACATAGAAGTGACGTCACGCGACTTTTCAAATCAATATGTCGTGGGAAGTATTCGTTTCTGTAAAAAATACGTGTCTAATGATTTCAAATAATCGACATACACAAACGGTTGTTCCGTGTGGGAATTTAACCCGCTACACTAAGCCTGGCAGCCAGTTGTCCAGCCACCGCTCCAACCGTGCAGTGAAATCAAAATCGATCTGTTCTATAACCCCATACGAAATTCTGTTCGAATTACAAATCACATATATATGTATTTTTGTCATAAAAACTTCAAAAGCGTTACAAGTGTTACCGGCATTTTTTTTTTAAAAACGTTGCCCCACTCTAGGATTTTCTCCTGTGTCGTGGGTGCGTTTACAAACATACAAGTTCACATACACATGACACCCAGACCCGAAACAATAATCTGTGGATCACACAAAGAATTGTTCCGTGCGGGAATCGAACCCGCGACACGTTGCGCGGCGGCCAGTTGCCCAGCCACCGCGCCAACAGTGCAGTGGGGATTAGGAGTTTGAGGATCGTTGGGGATTCAGGGATTGGGTAGATTGGGGAAGGGGAAGGTAATTGGGCCTCCGATAACCTCACTCACACGACGAAACACAACGCAAGCGTTGCTTCACGTCGGTTTTCTGTGAGGCCGTGGTATCACTCCGGTCGAGCCGGCCCATTCGCGCCGAAGCATGGCTCTCCCACACTTTATGCTCTCCTACTCTTTGCAATGTCAGATCAATAGCTAAAGTATTTGAGTCCTACGTGTAGGTTAACTAGGCGACCTAAACTCAGCCTAGGCATTATAATGGCTAGTCTAGACTCGTCTAGGCGTGGTTGTCAACCTTGGTGGTACTGGTTTGCCCACTATAAAGTGCGTGTTGCAGTGTTGGCGTGAAATTAGTGATTTGCGATAATATCTGATTTTAATTTTGTTGAATGTTATAACGTGTTTCTTGACTAATATGATAGGTAATGGTCGATTAGGTCGTGCAAAGTATTATTTTATTTTATTAACACTTTAATGCACACAAAATAAGGTACATAAGGCGGACTCAATGCCATGTGGCATTTTCTCCTAGTCAACCTTTGGGTTAAATATAGAGTCAGCGAAAATAGGCTTGCCTAATATGCAAAAAAAAACAAAATAAATAACTAATAGTAATAATAAATACTGAATAAAAAATACAATATATGGACATAAATAACTTCATATATATAATTATAATTATCATGATTTATTATTATTTTAAATTCTCTATAAAATACATTTTTAAATACTACTTACAAAATAAAAAAAATATAAAAAATAGGAGCCGACCAGTAGCGGGAGCATGGTCCAAGCTACCGGTGGTTAGGGCTCCAGAGACAGAAACCTCCTCACGATACGTGCCGTTTCAAGGAGAAGGCCTTCTGTATCAGGCCCCTGACCCAACTACCTAACGCTAGCCTCCTAAGGTGGTTGTCGAGTAATAATGTTAATAGTTGTTGTTAATAATTATAATTATTATTATTATGAATCTGAATTCATAAATTACTTTAGGCAAAATAACTTGCGAAAAATAAATGAAGTATTTATTAGAGCGTGCGTGAGTGAGGTTACTGGAGATCCCATTCCCCTACCTCCAGTTCTCAATACCACTAAAGGCTTAAAACGCACTTGTAACTCCTCTGGTGTTCCAGGTGTCCATGGGCGACGCCGATTGCTCACCATCAGGTGATCCGTCTGCTCATTTGCAGCCTTATACCATACCATCGTCCCTTCTAAAAATAAAAAGCCTGAAATGTTATTCAGGGTTTAAAAAAGTTTTTTTTTATGGAATAAGCCGGTAAATGACCAGACGGATCACCTGATGGTAAGTAATAGGCGCCGTCCATGGACACCTGGAACACCAGAGGTGTTACAAGTGCGTTCTCGGCTTTTTGAGGATTATTGGAAATTCGGGGATTGGGGAGATTGACGAGGGAGATATAATTAAAATAAATATAATCAATTAAATAAAATAAATAATAGGGTAGTTTGTAGGGTAAGAAAATTCAAAATCTAATTAGTCCATCAGTTAGATAATGAAAAAATATTATATTATAAAGTTACAATATTTAAATAAAATGGCGTTAAGTTTAGGAGCGGGAGGTAGTTACGTCATAGCGTGGTACATTTTGTAGCACGCTGTGACGTCACGCGACATTTCAAATGAATATATCGTCAAATGCATTTAATTATGTGAGAAAAGAAAAAATACGTGTCTAATTTTTTAAAGTAATCTACCAGACAGATATTAAAATAAAATTTAGGAAACTACCCTATTTGCATCTATTTGTTTGTTTTGGTTTGAATAACTTTAAATACTATTATTATTATATTATTATTAGTATCAAAACTAGACTCTTCACACTTTTAATAGATTTCAATATTGAACTACAACAATGCAGTTACAGACAGAAACAATATACCTATTATTATTTGGTTCGACAATTTGATATACGAGTACAATGTTTTAGATAAATAAGGACATAGGTACTTATCTGTGTAAATATCGGTGAATTGATTTGTTTAGTTCATGAATAGTTATGACAGTCTTTTTGGTCTTTTTTTTAAGGGGGGACTATCATCGAATGACTGCTCGTTAGTTAGGTTCTCCGCGTTATTGTCGCGGAGAACCTAACGGGTTACCGGGGCTCCGGCTCAAAGTCCAGGAGTAGGAACGGGGTGGTTTTTAGTCAGTAAGAGTCTGACACTCCCTCCCGCCTCATCCAGGCGAGAGCAGTAATTCAATGATTTTCCCCCCTTAAAACAAGACTGTATCTATTTATTTCATGACAGTAATTTGAACATTGATAAACTTAATATACTTTAGCGGCTCGGTCAGAAGACCAACGACACAGTCACTGCCCATGCAGTATTTATGTATTAAAATATACTTGTAGAAATATAATATTTATAGAGGAAGTGGACAAGTGTAGTAGTACCATTTTGTAAATATATGTATGTGTCTATATAAGAGGAAAGATATGATTGTTTGTTTGTTACCAACTCTTCCTGTTGGTGTCATGTTACAAGGACCACCTAAGGGATTACACTTTTTTAAATGGGATAAGCCGGTAAACGAGGAGACGGATCTCCTGATGGTAAGCAATCGGCGTCGCCCATGGATACCTTGAAGGTTTATTCCACTTTGTTCACCTGGGTGATTTCACCTAGGTGAACAAAGTAGACT